TCATTAAAATAATAATTTTTTTTTCTCGACTGATTTCTTTATATCTTACATTTGTGTCATGAGACCTTTCACTTTAGAAAATACCAATTGATGAAAACAGACATTTGTCGGAAAAATGAACTCAATACGGATGAGATTATCTTGTAAACACCATTTGATCAGCGAATATCAGAACATACTAGATCAAATTTAACATGAGGATGAAAATTAATTCTAACTTTGTATCAAAACCTCAATTACATAGAGGATATTTGTTTAGTTCAGTGTAAGATCGGAATGTATGAAATACGAACTTTTGGTGTTCACAAGGTGAAATATATTTCGATCTTACACTACACTAAACAAATTTTCTTTTTATTATATGCAAAGAAACGTTTTAAAAAGACATTAAACCTAATACTGAATGAAAAGCGCGCCCGCTTGAAAGCCTGCATGATTAAAAATGGAAATGAACTTTTGCCTGGTATGAATTAATAAAAACACGTTGAAGAAAAATTAAAACTTTTTTGTAAACTAAAAAAAGTCACCCTCGAGATTTTTCAGGATTTTTCTCTAAAGTGTCTAATTTTCTTGTAAAAGCAAAGTTTCATTTCTCTACGGCAAGTCTCTGTTGTTTATTTTCCGTAGCCATTGCCGAAGTACTCTTCATTTGGAGATGAACGGGAGAAAGCACGTGTCATGTTTCTAAAATGTACATGATGTTCTCGGGTCGTTTCATGATTATTTTACAAAGCTGGATCTACAATATGTAACAGTTTCGTTGAAATGCATGATAGAAAACTTTAAAAAATGAATAATAAGCAACAAGAACATCGAGTCACATGGAGTAGATCTAGAAATTGCACTTACTTTTAAGCTGAATAGAATCCCTATGAGTTTCGAAATAAATCTTTATAAACGTCACGACAAATTCGCATTCTGAAGATCACTTCATTGCCCGTTTATATCCAGTTCCGTAGATCCCATTTTTTTACTTTGAAACTCCTGAATGGCATGACATTTATGTAAATTATGATGATCCAGAATTTTTCATAATCCGTCTCATTATTAAAACATTGTTCCATTTGTGCAGTTATCTGGGTTAGCAAATGAAATATGTAAATGAAACACATCATAATCCAGTATGTTCCAAATCTATAATTCAAGAACGGCCCATCAATTTTAGTTCGACAGCACAATGTTTATAACTCTTGAAAATGGATTCCTGACGAAAAAACATTATTACGTCACCAACAATTTACGAAATTTATGACGTAACAAAAATGCCTCGCGCTTTTTATGGATGATTCCAGTTGCGGCATTGACAGAGGGCGGTTAGGCATATGTAACCTCATAGAGATAATTTTAAGCGAGATTAATTTGTCTTGATGGCATTTAAAATAATTTTTGTATACCCAGATTTTGCAGTAATTGTTAAAAGTACACCTTCAATTCATATATTAACAATAAAACTTTTGATAACATTTAAATAATTTTAAACACACTTAATGGCATGAATCTATGACAGAATACCTCTTCCATTAATTCACATATATAACCTTCGTTTTGATTTTATGTTTTTAAACTATTTTATATATTTCTCAGAAATAATTTCCCTACAAATTATCTCGTTATTCAAGAGTTCTGTAAATCCTACTGTTTTAGCTACAAAATATACCATATGCGGTATTATTTTCTCCCGCCAAAAAGTATAGCTATTGTTTTTTCACTGAATATTTTCAAATTTTAGGAAGGCTATAATTATTTAGGACATCACTCTGTGTTTCTCTTTGACTCGATCTCCCCTTCATATTAACATAGTATGCAACACTTTGAGTCTACAAAAAAACAAACTTTTTTGCCCCTGATTAAACGCTCCAATTCAATCTTATTCTTAATAATATCAAATCACTGCCGGTATTTCTGGACATTTTGTTAAATTATGAGACGGAAAATTAATCTGTATTTACAAGCTTAAAGTGTATAGGCCAACGTTCGGTTGCTCAAACTAGAAAGCATTTTTATATTCTTATAATTTACATTTTTCCTCGCACGCGAGTCTGTGTTCTCTCATTAGCAAATGAGCTAGTTAAAGTAGACTCTGTGCAAAACAATACTGAACATATAGTGAATCAGTTCCCCTTTCTATATATTTCTTGTCAGATTTGCATGCTAATATGTTATATTTGTTGGCGATTTATAACGCCAGGTTTCTGTTGTGAAAGTTAAAACCTACGAAAAGTTTTAATGCACGAACATCGCACCCGAAATAAGAAGGGTAACATATTTTTGTATCCCATCGGACCTGGTTAATCTAATTATTTTTAAATAGACGTGATACCTACTAATGGACAGTATTCAGACAACTACAGAATTATGTTAATTAAACATTAGTGAAGAACCATTTTTTAGTCTTCTGGCTAGTGTTCCCGTTCCCTTACGACGCGTTGCGGTATTCAACATACGCGCTTGATTGAAAAGCTATCTAATCAAATCACTTCATAATATTGCTCTTTTTCTCTTAAAAAGAATATACAATACGACAGTGTATCATGGTAATTATATAATTATATAAATATTTGTGTGTTATAATTTATAAAGCGGTTACTGATATTTCACTTCAAATGATTTTAAATTGATTATTTTAAATAATGGTTTGCTAGTAAAATTGCCTTTTCGACACCAACTTTGTTTCCATTTTTCATTTTAATGATAACATTCAGCTATTGATCAGTAAGTAAATAAGAATAATCAATTTTTTATAATTACCGAGTACATTTCACGCTAATTGTGAGACGAACCCTAAATGACGTCTGTATGGGCGCCGCCATTTTGAAATGGACGTCACGTCAGGTTACAACGTAAGTCAACGGGAAAAAATATAATTTTAACATTTTGACCATATTACTGACTTTATGGAAAAAATGAAAAACATGCCTAGAGATATTGATGTCAGGATTAACATGACATTAATTTAAATGACTTTACTATTATATTTAATAAAAAATGGAATATTCAAATTTGGTGTGACAGACTAAATAATGCGGTAGATTGCTTAGAGGATAACGTGTCTCCCACTCAAGAAAGTTCACATACACCTTAGTCACGTTTTGCTTAGATAGATTTTTCATGTTTGAATGCTGAATCGCTTTGAAAAATTCTATTACATGTATTCTTTATTCAAAACACCATATTTCGTTCCCTCAATTATTTTATGTGACCTATTCATTGGTCATGTTTCGGGTTCAATAAGGCGCCACATGTACATTATTCGTATTTTCTTACAAGCGCCATTGACAGATTGTGTTAGAATGTAGCCAGTGGCGTCACTGGTAGCATCCTGTCAGCAGACGACATGTTTTTGACCTTATTATGCCCCACATGTTACAATCACGTGGTCTTTATGATGACGGATATAGCAAAATCTGACCACAACCGATGAGCGGTGATTATTCAGAAGTTCATAGTGAGTACATTATTTTAACTATTTTTATTGCATTTGTAGTTTTACAGATCTATAAAAACTGAAAGTGTCACTTTCTTTATTCACTTAAAATAATCTTTTTTTAATGTAATTTTCAATGAATAAGAAATATATTCTAGATAAAAATCAAGTTTTTGTATGCAAATATTAGTCCATAAGCATATGTTACACCTTTTTGGCTTTATTTTACATTTCTGTACAATTTTGACGCCTAAAGATGGCAAGTGTTAAAGGAAAGTAATGTAAATTACTGTTTAAATTACGACAATATATAATAACACGTATTTACAATGAGATTGGATCTTTTTACCATCAACGTATCTATGTACGTTATTCATTTCAACGCCGCCTTTCCTTGTTGATCTTGTTTATCATATTTTCTTTTCACATAAGTACAGACAATTTTGACAGTTTAAACTATACTATTACTGAACTGAATTAATTTTATTGGTGTTGGTAATGATGATGATTATGAGAATATGCAAAGGATAATGTTGTTGTTATTATTATTATTATTATCTTTTTTATCATTCTAGATAACTTGCTGGCTAATTAAAATAATGCTTTCTCGCTAATTCCCAGTGAATGTATATATATATAGAGGATATTGAATGAGTGTAAGTTCAATACTGAATTTATTGCACAAGTTGAATAAAATTATATTATGCGAGCCTCTGGCGAGCATAATATTATTTTATTCAACGAATGCAATAAATTCAGTGATGAACTTACACGAATTTAATATTCTTTTTATCATATACCCAAAATAAAGACCGTTTAAAGTAAAATGAATAAATAAATAGAGTCATTTTTCTTCGACGCGCCTATAGTATAACGCTAACCTTTAGCGCGTCTTTACACTATGTTTGTATAACGCTAATGACGTCACGTCAAAATATATGCACGGCCGTGCAATACCATATTTACGGAGTCGCAAAATCGGCACGGGTGTGTGATAAATAGAGGATATTGAATGAGTGTAAGTTCAATACTGAATTTATTGCACGAGTTGAATAAAATTATATTATGCGAGCCTCTGGCGAGCATAATATTATTTTATCCAACGAGTGCAATGAATTCAGTAATGAACTTACACGAATTTAATATTCTATTTATCACATACCCAAAATAAAGACCGTTTAAAGTGAAATAAGAGTCATTTTTCATTGACGCGCCTATAGTATAACGCTAACATTTAGCGCGTCTTTACACTATGTTTGTATAACGCTTATGACGTCACGTCAAAATATATGCACGGCCGTGCAATACCATATTTACGGAGTCGCAAAATCGGCACGGGTGTGTGATAAAAAATTATATGATATATTTTGACATATAGGTATGTTGGGTTTTATTATTTTTCTCTGCTTTATATTGTAGAAATATAGTTCTATTATTAATACCCGCTGTATCTTTTTGATCCATATCTATTTGTTAATTTCTTTACATTCACGTTTTTGCGCAAATTTGTCACGTTGACGTTGGCGTCCTAACGGACGTGACGTCAAATACTTTGTACGTTATTCTGATGAAGACAAACAGTCGAAACTAGTAAAGATTAAAAGAAATATGTGTTGTTTTGGTATATTTTAACTGAAATGAATAACATAATGTTGAATGTGAATTTAACTACTTAAATTAAAAATATGTTTTGTATTTCAGGAAAAAAGATAAAAGGATAAAAGGAAAAACATGAAGATAATTCTAGGAAACATTTTCATTCTGTGTTTGGTATATGTAATGCTGTCAAGTGCATTTGCTGGAGAAAAAATTGGTAATATATATTTCGCTACTAAGAAAATATTTAGTTGTAGTAATGTTAGCATTAATCACTAGTTTGTACCATAATTTTATTGCTCAACAAATGAGTGTTACTTAGGTAGGTAGTTGGTAGTTGAATATTCGAATGACCAACTACCTATTTGGGGTGGTTTTTTAGTTTTGGGTAATTCCCAGTTTTTAAAAAACGGGGTTTTTTGGTTTTTTAAATCACTATCAATAGTTTTAAATCAAAATTTTTACACGGAATAAAAGGGGACCTGGTTGGTTTTCACGGGGTTTCCCCAATTACTCCCGACAGGTATTTTTGGGGGAATTTGAACTTAACTTTTTATAGGGAAAAGGTTTTGGGGGTTGGAAATTCGGGGTGAATTGCTGAAAAATACTTCTAAATTTGAGGGGAAAAAACATTCAAAGTTCGATTTCCCAAATTCTTTTTAATTTGGGTAGGGGTTTAAAGGTTCTGCCTCTAAACCCCAGGGGTTTCATGGGTTTTTTTCCCGGCCCCTATTTCGGTTTCACGACCTGTTTCTTCATATGACACCGTACGGGTTGGGATCCAGGAACGGACTCGAAAGTGTTTTAAATATAAGTTGCAATAAACTTGTTTCGCAATTGAGGTGAATATAATGTTTAAAACCAAAGTAGGTGTTGGGTAAACGCGGGGTAATTACCAATGAGTCCCCTGGTTGACAAAAAGAAGGTAAGTGTTTTCATTAAAAAACAGATTTTTTTTGTTATATATCCGTTATTTTTAATTTTCCGGAAAATGTTCCTTTTGTTTTGTATTGGGACAACATGCCAAAGTACTGAAATTACCAAATACTTCCAGTTTGGTAGTTTGGTATTTGGCCGGAATAACCAACTGAGTCCCCTGGGATTGGCTTAAAATAAGACAGGGTGTTTTCCTGTTGAAAACTTATCTTTTGGATGTTATTTACCATTTTATTAAGGGAAATACCATTTTTCTTTTATAAATCCGTTACATTTATTTTGGAAAGTATCTTTTTAATGGGGAAAACATGCAAATTTGAATTACCAACTTACTTCTGGTAGGTAGTTGTTGATTTACGCGAAATTAACATCTAGGTCCTTTGGTAGACATAGGGAGCCTGAGAATTAATCCAGTTTTGCCATATATTTGTTACTTTTATTCTTATTTTTTACTGTTATTTTTGAAATACATATAGTGTTCCAATAAAACTACCTTTTGGATTGAAGTTGTGATACACGCGAATAACCAACTGATTCCATTATATGGAGACATATTGGAGACAATGAAGAACACATCTATCTTGCCGTTGCATTTTTTCCTAAAAAATACTTTGTGTTTTGAGGGACAACATGTGTGAAGTCCTGTATGGCAGTGTGACCATTAAAGTCCTGTGTTAGTAGTGCTCTGTGTAGTCAAATAGTGCCCTGTGTTATCAGTGTGTCAGTGTGTCCTGTGTGTCAGTGGTGCCCTGTGTATCAGTGTGTGTGTAGTGTCATGTGTGTCAGGCCAGTGTGTGAGTAGTTGTCCTGTGTGTCAGGTCAGTGTGTCAGTAGTGCCCTGTGTGTAGTTAGTGTCCTGTTGTCAGAAGTGTCCTGTATGTCAGTAGTGCCCTGTGTATCTGGTTGTGTCCTGTATGTCAGTAGTATCCTGTATGTCAGTTAGTGCCCTGTGTGTTCAGTAGTGCCTGTGTGTCAGTAGTGTTCTGTATGTCAGTAGAGTCCTGTGTGTCAGTTGTATCGGTAGTGCCTGTGTGTGTCAGAAGTGCCTGTATGTCAGTTGTGCCCTGTCTATAGAAGTGTTATGTATGTCAGTAGTATACTGTATGTCAGTAGTGCCCTGTGTGTCAGTAGTGCTGTGTGTCAGTAGTGTCTGTATGTCAGTAGTGTCCTGTGTGTCTGTGTATCAGTAGTGCCCTGTGTTGTCAGTGTATCGGTAGTGCCCTTTGTGTGTGTCAGTAGTTGCCCTGTATGTCAGTAGTGTCCAGATGTTGTCGCAGTGTATCGGATAGTGCCCTGTGTGTGTGTCAGTAGTGCCCTGTGTGTCAGAATGTGTCCTGTATGTCAGTGTGCCCTGTATGTCAGTAGTGCCTGTGTGTCAGTAGTGCCCTGTGTGTCAGTAGTGTCCTTTTGTGTGTTAGTAGTGTCCTGTATGTCAGTAGTGGCTGTGTGTCAGGTCAGTGCCTGTGTGTCAGTAGTGCCCTGTGTGTCATAGTGTCATGTATGTCCCCGTAGTGGCCTGTGTGTCTGTGTATCAGTGTGTCAGTTAGTGCCCTGTGTGTCAGTTATTTGTCCCTGGTGTCAGTGGTGCCCTGGTGTATCACTGTGTCAGTAGTGTCCCGTGTGTCGGTGGTGCCCTGTTTATTAGTGTGTCAGTAGTGTCCTTTGTGTCAGTTGGTGCCCTGTGTATCAGTGTGTCAGTAGTATCCTGTGTGTCGTAGAGATGGTGCCCTGTGTGTCAGTGTGTGAGTAGTTGCCCTGTGTAGCAGTGTGTCAGTAGTGTCCTGTGTGTCAGTAGTCTTCTGTGCACGCTCAGTAGTGTCCGTGTAGTAGTGTCCTGTGTTAGTGGTGCCCTGTGTATTACTGTGTGAGTAGTGTCCTGTGTATCAGGCCAGTGTGTGTGAATGGTGTCCTGTGTGTCAGTTCAGTGTGTCAGTATGCCATGTAGCGTCCTGTATGTCAGAAGTGCCCTGTGTATCAGTAGTGTCCTGTATGTCAGTAGTATCCTGTTTGTCAGTGTTTGTTATGCAGTGTTCATGATATATCAGTAGTGGTCTGTATGTCGTAGATGGTGTATCGTAATGTCCTCTATGTCAGTATTGCTCAGTATGTCAGGGGATCTTGTTTTCATGTGTGTCAGGCCAGTGTGTGAGTGTGTCAGTAGTGGCCATGTGTGTCAGTAGTGTCCTGTATGTCAGTAGTTCCTGTATATCAGTAGTATCCTGTATGTCAGTAGTTCCCTGTGTGTCAGTAGTGTCCTGTTATGTCAGTAGTGCCCTATGTGTGTCAGTGGTGCCCTGTGTATCAGTGTATCAGTAGTACCTTGTGTATGTCAGTAGTGCCCTGTGTCAGTCCCTGTGTGTCAGTGTGTAAGTAGTATCGTGTGTATCAGTAATGTCGTATGTGTTAGTGTGTTCTGTGTCAGTAGTGCCCTGTGTGTCAGTATGTCCTGTGTGTCAGTAGTGCCCTGTGTGTCAGTGTGGCAGTAGTGTCCTGTGGTCAGCTGTGTGAGTAGTTTTTATTAATTAATTTACTTTTTATTAGTCTTGTCATACGAAAGATTGTTAGTATTTAGTTGAGAAGAAAGATTGTTAGTATCTTATTTTATTATAATATTTATTTTATTATTTATTATTTTATTATCTTATTTAGTATATTATTTTAGTGGAGAAGCGGGGGATCGAACTCGCAACCCCTAGACCCGTAGTCAGACAGTGTTACCACTGCACCACAGCGCCCCGCTCTGATTAATAACTATTTTGGAAATCTCCTTTATACATTATCACATTAGTAAACTTGAAATTGAGCATGCAATTGTATTTTCACACCTAAATAATAGTTGTAATATCGCTGTTAGGTCTAAATTGTTTTACAGTGGCTGGCATTCGTGTCCTTGCTCGAGGGTTATTATAAAGGACTTTACAAACACGAGTAGTAAAAAAATAATAAGTAAGACATGAAGTTAGAAAAGCCATGTTTCGTTAAATATAATCGTTGTTCTAATATTGACAATAAGTAAGCTAAAATCAATACTTGTTGTTAATGATAAATGATGGTTTGAAACAAGTCTATTTAATCTAATTTTGACATGTTAAAAATATTACTGTTGGTGTACTGAAAATTAGGTGTTGAAAAAAGTATGTTTAAGCTGCAACCCTCCAGACTAATGCTAATTTTCATGAAAATTTTAAAAATTTAATGTAAATTAAGGGTAAAATATTTTTTGAGTGAACAAAGAAAGTAATTTACATATTGCAAACAACACTTTCAATCCACGTATTTCGTCATGAATTTAAAATATGCGACAACAACAAACAAACAAAAACGAATATGTGACCAGGACAAGATGCAATTCTTACCATATGATTTATCACCCCGCACTCTTACGTCGGACCAGGGGATCATTTGATTATCGCATGATCCCCAACTACCAACAGAGGTAGTTGGTATTTCGAACTGGCAAATTTTTCCCCTCAAAACAGAAAGTCGTTTTCGGACTAGTATACGGATATATTAGCATGTAATTGTTTAACAAATGGTATCACCCCGACACTCTACGTCGACATGGTTATTGATTATGGTTTTTCGTGTGATCTCAACTACGTACGAATGGTTATTCGGTATTTGCATGCTGTAAATTGGTTAGAAATGTTACCGTTATACAAGTATGTGTCTTTCTATATAACGGTTACACCGCTTTACCATAAATCCAGTTGGTTATTCGCGTGAACCCACAACTACCTACCAGAAGGTAGTTGATAATTCGAAATTTTCATGTTTACCCCTAAAAAACATATGTTTTCTAGAATAAATATGACGGATATATAGCAAGATAGGTGTATTCTTCAACATTGAAACACCCTGTCTCCCTATGTCCTCTAGGGGACTCAGTTGGTTTTTCGCTGAATACAAAACTACATATTGGAAGGTAGTTGGTTATTCGGATATTGCACATATTCCTCTGAAAACAAAATATTTTTTCTGAAACAAATATATAACTAAATATTTGTTTTCCATAATATGGTAACACCCCTTTAACCAGAAATCGCCCAGGAGACTCAGTTGTTATAAGCTTGTATCCCAAACTACCAACCAGAAGGTACTTGGTTATTCGATCTTCTGGTAGGTAGTCTCTAAAAATAGAAAGTAATTTTTCACGTCTCCCTACGTCGATTGCTTATTTGTGTGAATCCCAAACTACCTACCAGAAGGAAGTTGGTAGTTCGAACTTCTGGTAGGTAGCTTGGTATTTGCGAGACAACCAGGTTCCCTAATTTATTATGTGTTTAAAAATGTATGATGTGATATAACATTTCATACTGGTGATAGTGGATTGAATTACCAACTACCATGCACCTGTTAAATAGTTGGGAATTACGAATAACCAACTTTAAGCTATTAGGTAGTTGGTATTCGAATATCCAACTACCAACTACTTACCAAATTGACGCTCATGCTATACAACCGCATATAATCTGAACAATAATCATGGAATATCAGCAGTCTTCTGTATACAAGTACTGGATATTTTTTGTTTTTTGTTTGTTTTGGGTTTTACGTCACATCGACACAGTATAGGTCATATCGCGACGTTCCAGCTTTACTGGTGGAGGAAGACCTCAGGTGCCCTTCCGTGCATTATTTCAGGCACGAACGGGCACCTGAGTAGAACCACCGACGTTCCGTAAGCTAGCTGGATAGCTTCCTCACATGAAATAATCCAAAGTCCCTGTCGGGATTCGAACCCACAGCGGTGAGGGGCAAGTGGTTTGAAGTCAACGACCTTAACCACTCGGCCACGGACGCTCCTTACTGGATATTTATCTTACAAGATTTATTGAATGATTTCTAATGATGAGCAAATAGTTGTGTGGGTGTTTTAATATTTATTTGTTAACATCAAAGTTCAGTATCTTGATTCACTATAATTAAGTAGGATTGAGCTATTTAATGAAATAACTCGATGGATACACTTTTGATAGCATTTCTTAAGATGAGAAAGTTTTATACAATGTTATTTGTTAAGCACGCGCTGTAAAGCTGTCTGTTTCCTTTTTAACCGATATTATTACAGAATAAAGATACGCACATTGCATTTATAGTGTATTAACGTGTTAGGCTTTAATATTTTGTGAAAATCATTTCTTTATTTAGAATTTGTTCCTTATCAAACCTTAATTTTTATGTACAATTTCCTTTTTTCAGATGTATGATAAAATGTTAAAACTCATTTTTACTGTTTCAGATAATTTATGTCGATATTAAGAAATAACTAATTTATTTAATTTAAAAATGAAATTAAAATATAATGATATCATTAGAACCATCTATAATTATATATAAATCATAGACACAATTTTACATATATTATTTACATTTTCAGTTGACGTTTATTGCTTGGAAACAGCCGAAGAAGAGTCAGCCTCGTGTTTGTACAAGAACGCCATTTGGACATATGATGCGGAACTAGGATCATGTGTTGCTAAAATAGGCTGTTATCCGAGCTATGCTCCAGAAAACAACGTCTTCAGACAACCCAATCATTGCCTGTCATGGTGCATCAAAGCATAAGACAAGAAAATATGTTGCAGAGAATACTTCTTTCTCCTTTAGTTAAGAATAAAAGTAATTAATGTTTTGTTAAATTAAATGATTACGCTTCTAACATTCTCTTTAAAATATAGATTCGATATAAAGACAAAAGCACATTCAAACAAACATTATTATACGGAACTATTGTTTCATTTACGATGCAATGTTAAGCTGAATAATTCAATCAATCTTAAAAAACATATTTTGATTTAATAAAACTGTATATATCAGAAATAAAACTTTGTTTCATTCTTTAACTGATGTTTAGTGCCTTTGCATTAATTTTTAAAATTTCATGATATTTGAGTCATTTTCTATATTAAAGTATGATAGTACATTTTTTCAACAGAAAAAAATCTTTATAAAACATTGTTACAATGGGGACCATTACAGGAAAGCTTTATCTCATGTATAGATAACAATTCTAGTTTGGAACCAAAGTTTTTTGTACTGATTTTCATTTCAAGTAGCTAGAATAAAATTTATACCTAACATTATTCTATATTAACATTTTAATTTCTGTTTGCTTTAGATATACATTATCAATTTCTTATTCTTTGCAAGATTTCTTTAAAATGAAGCTGGTGGTTGTGGATAGTCCAAACAATATGAGCTAAATACACTGTCAATGTTATACTTATTTAAAGATGAATGTCACATGTAATCAACTGTTTAATGTTTCGAATATTCTGGAATACGTAAACCTCCAAGAGCAAAAAAATAGGACGCTTTTCATATTTGTTATGACTAAACATATATCAGAGCTGTGCTGGTAAAGTTTTAGCCGTACATTAAGGTGTTGGTTCAATGACTATGAAGGAATTAAAGTGGTTTTAACTTTGTCATCGGTTTTTGTTGTCCCTCCCCCCAAAAAATAAGCATTTACAACTTTAGATATACAATGCCCTGTCACACCGCCTTAAGCTGTATACCGTGCAATAGTGCTCCTTGTGTTATATTTCTTGGCACAAAAATGCGTTTGAAATGGACTGTATGTAGCTACAAATATCCCTTTGTTACATCCATAAAATACATGGTGGTTCTATGGAATATTGGGAATTAGAGTGTCGAACTTATCATGAAATTTGAATTTGTACAATACAAACATACACTCGTTTAGTTAAATCATTAAGATGTTAAAAACTCTTTTCCTTTGTTCTTATATCCCTATTTTATCTTATAAAATAAAACAATAAGAATAAAAAATTACCAATTTCCTTATCATATCTGATTTTATATAACGTTCGAGGGCGAATAAAAAAGTTCGTGGAATTTTTTTTTATAATTTCTTTATTTGACGTCCGATCTTCACTAAACTTCAGATGCTTATATATAAATACATTTTGAATTGGTTTTGATAACTTCAGTAAAATATTTGAAAAAATAAACATTTTATAAAATTTTATTAATTATTTATTAATTTGTTTATGTTACCTTATCATTATAAGAGCCTTGCTTTCAGAACTTTCTTTGCAAATGCATTCTGTTGTACATAATCGTGCAGACGAGATAAAAGTAAGCAGAAACATTTAAAACGCGATCTGTAACAATTTGCTAACCTGTAATTTTCTAAACCAACCAATCTCCTACCAATTATGCATGCATATAAAAGTGTGCGCATTTAATCTCTAAAAAAGGATTTGTGATAGGAAAGAAAAACACGCAAATTACCATTTCCCTTTTTGAAGATGCTAATGATGATGAATGTGAACACGACGGTATGGCAATACCTAAAGCCTCTTCTGTAAAAAAATCCGTTTCATAATTCACAATTTCAGGAAATTATTTTGGAAACTTGTTATGGACAGAAAAAAAAAACACAACAAAAAGGAAGTGATAAATAACTGCTAACGCTTTGTTAACACCATATTATATTTTCTACAAAGATATGACGCATATTTGATATCGCATTAATTATAATATCATAAGACTGTTAACGTGCTTTTTGTACTTAAGTTAATATTCTTTTCTTATACATTCGTACGAATTTTATAGATTTACTTGTCTTAGACTTAAACATGTTATTGTGACTTATAATGAAATACTATTACTTCATAGCAATAATTGACGAATGCTTTAAAGAGTGACAAATTGGAATGACACCCTTTGAAAAAATACTGCCCAGGATGATAAATGAAATGTTTGAAATTCTTTTAAATTGATATGTTTCGATATATAGAATTGTAGCAATATTAATATTGAAATATTACTTTTAAAATTTATAAGAAATGCAGAACATTATAAAGTTTTGTTTATATGTCTTATTAAGTGTGAATTAATACATATAAACGTTTGAAACGGAAAGATTCTTTTTGATAAAATGCCAGTAATAAAAATCACTCACGTGGCTCTTTTATTACGAATACAATCATGAATGTATCAGTAATCAGTTAACATGATTTTCTAAATATCGATAGGATAGAAAATACGAATTATTATTTCTAATAAAGTGGCAACTATATTTTCAATATATACATGTAAATAAATGAGAAAAAGTGAATAACGACAAAGATAAAACATTTTGTTAAATGGCATATGGTTTTGTTACGAATGACATCTCTATTGTTTCAAATCATTTTGGGACTGATTTTGCATCTGTAAATAAATTCTATCGTTATTAAATACGTATATCCGAATATTGCAAAGACCCTTTAAAGCAAATTGATATAATTATACAGAGTCATAATTTACAAATCACTTCAATTATGATTGTCTACAAGGTTTTGAATTTATTTAGATACTATCTGTCTGGCCGTTCACCACAACAACGTTAGTGCTGTAATAATACAAAGTAAATGTTTTAGCGACTTTAATCTTTCAATTTATACCAGTTCAACGACTCTAATATAAAGAAATATGTTGTTTTGTATCCATGGCGGAGACACATTAAGATTGTTACCTCATTTATTCGAAAATAACTTTGTTCCAGAAATAATTGTCATTGCATGTAAAATTCCATTATCAAAAACTGCTGTGAACTTCATAATAGCAGAATAAAAAATTTTGATTATGCCGTTCGAGGCTTTTAAAAATGTAGAACTAACAGTAAACATCTTTATTTTTAAGTAGAAAATATGGGATGTTTAAACGTGAAGGAAATAATACCAACATTTTATTCTGTAATCTATTTCTATAGAATTCAAAATGAATGTGTGTTCCACAATTTAGTACAATAGTTCTTTATTAATTCAATCATATTTAGATTTGCAAATGAGTTTTTCAATGGAGATCTCGTTTTAACAGTATTGATATTAGGTTTTCTGTCAGTAAACCGTGATGCTGAAAATGTATTTTGGCAACACAGTTATCAAATCAAGCAAAGAAACGACTATGAAAATCAGCAACATACATTCAAATATATTCAATTAAAGTTAATGTAAAGCGCAAAAGAAGTTTTAAATTAATTTATTCTTGCAAAGCTCGTGTTTGTCAGTATAACCATTATTTAAGCAGAAAAAAGGACAAAACACACAATCAATATTGCACATCAAAACAACAACAACAACAACAACAAAAGCAAAAGCAACAACAACAACAGCAACAACAACAACAACAACCATTGTAATATAACTCAAAACGACACTTTTGAGGAAACTCAATCTATAACAGACTCTGCTATAAGATATATTTCATTTGATAAATGGATTTAAATTCTGAACCGACTTATTTTTTAATTTTCTAATTCAGTTTACAAAGCGCAGGATAAATGAATTTGATTAAAATTTAGTGATGGCTGCCTGAAAATTTAATAGAACTTTTGTCTCGTGTAAGTGAATGATAGTTTCAGAATATTCTGTTCTAGTTATTCTGGGTATTTTAAAATAACTAAAGGATGAGCGTTCTTTCCAAGGCATTGTCAATCAGATAGATAAGAAAATCAGATTCATTCATAAATGTTTTGTCAATGGTTAAACACATTACTTATGAATCAACAGTAAGAAAATAAACATAGTTGACACTTTTACAGTAGAAGCAAAACAATAAAGAATTAAGAAATGCTTTTACAATAGATTATTGTCATGAATAAAACATATGATAATTAGAATACAATGTCTTTAACGTCAGATCTATCTTAAAAGTCGTCTATATTTAAAGCATTTACAATTTAAGCAGAACTCTAAGGAATACGTACATTAGTAATATGTTATTTTTATGAATAAACCATATGAGGGTATACGGAAAACAACGTCAGTTCTATCCAAAAAGTGGTCTACATTTAAAGCACCATTATAATTCAGAGCAAACATGTTGTTGGAATTTTTATCATAGAGATTGGTTTACACTTTAGTAAAAAATAGAAGAGTATATTAAACAATATTGCTAAACAGTTTAAGGTGCCTTAGTACAACAGTCTAGATAATAAGTTGAAAAAGTATAATAATTTCTAGAAATACAATTCTTTCAAATGTTAAGATTAAAACGACAAATGTACACGGAATCATGGAACAAAATCTTCATAAGTATTTAATGCATTTGATGTAAATTGGTGAACTTACTTAGTGTATAAAGCGATATATTTGTAACCTATATCTTAAGAATTTACTATTTGAATTTTTTTAATAAATATAGCATACTAATTTAAATAAATGTATGCAAGAAAGATATTTGTATGATTCCTTAAAAAGCGCATTTAAACGGCTAAAACCCTAAAAAATAGCAGCATGATATTTTATTCTTTTTTATGTGTGTTGAATAAAAGAGACATTTCTATATATTAAAACTGTTTCGAGAAACAACATTTCCATTATTTAAACAACATAATTTTATTGTTTGTAAATTTTATAAAAACACATTTTAAGATTTAACTTAATAACGGTTATTCAAAATTAATTAATTTTTTTTCTTTATTTTCGTAGTGCTTTTCATTTTATTAAAAGTGAAATAAAAAAATATGACAAACTCTTTCAAGATATAATTAAAGAACAAATCAAACTAACCTTTTGTCTGTCAAATCAGAATTCAAAATAAACGTGTTTGAAAACAATTCGGGACTGGCAGCAGGTGCTACATGTACAAATGACAAGATATGTCGTTATTATATTAAATTTATTATATACACGTGGGCAGATGAAGAATAAGTATGACAAATTAGCTGACCAATGCAACAGATTGTTTAAAACCTATTCGTTTTTCTCTTTCAAATATTCGCCTATATGACTGAAATACTGTTGGGAAAAGGCGTAAAATGAAACAAACAAACAAACAAATCTTTCAAATATTCGTAAGCATGTTTTCAGTATATCAACCGGACTATTATACGATGAAATGATTCCAGACTTTGCATTAAGATACAATATTGTTTTTTTTCTCGATTTTTTTGTAGCTTACATGTTATGAGACGTTTCACTTTAGAAAAATTACAAAATGATGAAAACAGACAATTGTCCCAAAAATTGACTTAATACGGGAATAACAATAATCTTGCAAACATCGCTTGATCAGAATATAAGAGCTTAGATAAAATTTAATATTATAATGAAAAAGTTTAATTTGAAAGAAAACATCATTTTTAAGGCATACACATGAAAAAAATATCATTATTCATTATCTACATTCATTTTATAATAAAGTACAATATTTACTCTACATCAAATAACAAACCTATGAACATTAGATGGTAATTTGTGTAAAGGATTACGAACATGAATTTTGATCCATATCATAATCATGATTTTAATCCTTTCTGATAAATATCAGCATGGCTTATTTTTAAAACTCAATTAAATTCGTTATGTTTGCTTTGGAGTGAGTTTGTCATACAGTTTGTGTACATGGCAAATTATCTTGTAGAAAATACTATTCAATTCTATTCAAATGTCTTTATTCACATAGGTGTCAATAAAAT